GTATATTTCCTTCGCTCCTTCAGTTTTCGTTGTTTTTTGCAGTTTGGGTGTCTGGCCCGTCAATAGTTTGTCTTCGGGAAAATGCCCAAGATGTTTGAAGAGGTTAGGGCTTTTCCGTGTCGTAATTAAGTCAATTTTCCGTTGGGTAAACATTGAGGAGAAAAATAAATGGGAAAATGAGATAAGAAATCGATTAGGTAAGCATTGTTTGTAAGTACTTTCATATTTACAAAGAGGTTTATTGCGCCACAAATATATATGGCTTCATACTTTAAAGATATAATTACTTTCAATTTTTTAAAAGGTATTTGCAATTATATTTCTTTCTTCAAATATGAAGTTGGACTGTGTTTAGTTTAGTTCATCACATACTGTCTTCATAGGCCACATATTTCCACATTGGCCTTAATCTCTTCATGTGGCCCAGTGATCGCACTGTTTCTAATTGAAAATCATTAGAAAGCAAAGTACATGCAATTTACTTTTCTCATATTGTACGTTGTACACGTCAGCTGAAAAAAGAGTCGTTGGGGGAAAGGAAAACTACAAGCACAACAGCACGGAAAACTCAAACGCCGAACTAATGACAATTTTCAATGCTCCACGTGCTCCTCCCCCGCCCCCAACCAAAATGCCCCAATCCCCAACTACCACACGCTGTGACTAATGAGCGTTCCTAACTGAGATAAGAGATCTGGCCAAATGGCCAAATGCCTGAATACACAGAGAATTGAGAGGCGAACCGAGCTGAAATGAACTGAACTGAACTGAACTGAACGGAATAGAGCAATTGGCATTTGTTACCAAGAGATTTTCGAAACAAATCAGATACAGATACGAAACATAGAAATCTGTTTACCGCGTACTTATGTCATTCATGGGAATGTATCTCTGACGTTTGCGGCCGCAGAATTTCGAGATAATGCTGATAATGATGATGATGATGAGGATGAGGATGATGAAGATGCCGCCGATGAGCAATGCCAATAGCATGCGATACACGCTATATAATATATAGTTTAAAAGGTTTGTCTTTGCCAAAATGATTGATTGCCGCCCAAGTAGCGGAGGTCGTTGAGAAATGTATCTCGCAGATACAAATGCAGTGCGGTGACCAGACTGTTTATAATTTACACATTGTTTCATTACTCGTTTCGTTTCGTTTCGTTCAGCATTTTCCGTAAATCCATTTCACTTGGTCTGCGCTGTGTACTATTTCCTTCTCTCGATCATTTTTGATGTTGGACCACTTGACTTGGACTTTTGATGTTTTTACTTTTGGCCTGGCCTAAAACAAAAACCGCGGATCTCTGGCACTCGCTCTTGTCGCTCACTGATCTGCAGCATTTAATTTCATTGTGGTTGTTGTGGCTGCTGTTTTAATTAAATTTCGCAACGCAAACGTTAAAGAAAACATTTTGTAAATTGCATTTTCGTTCGACATTTGCAGCGCGTCTTCGTCTAGGCGCTCGCAAGCAAAAGAAAAAAGGGAAAACCAAAAGAGATGGGTCGTCAGCGGGTTGGAAAAGCGCCGGGAGTGCGCCCGTCTGCTGCAAAATACAGTGCATCTAATTGCGAGTAACAAATGCCGCCTCATGTTGCTGTCGCCAGACATTTTCCTCCGCTTTTCCTTTTTCCTTTCCTCTCCTTTTTCTTTTTTTTTTTTGGCACCACGGCAGGGACGGCGTTGCACAGACGATGAAGCTGCCTCAGCCTCCCAGAAATGAAGGACACCAGCATATGGACGCCGGATAGGGAGATGAGTTGGACAGTTCTGGGGCTGTTTGGGGAGGATGTTGATTAGCTCTACCTGGGACATTGGACAGCAGCAAATGAGCTGAGCAAATGCTGCAAATGGATCATCTTGTCCAATTTCGAATGGGTGGAAATCATGTGGACTTTCTTGTAAATCTCTTTATGTGCTTTTATTATCAGACAAATCCACAGATAACCATTATTACATACTCGTAATGAAATGCTGTGGTTTCTGCTGTTAATGTATTCGTTACGGTTTCGCTTTTAATTTAAATCAGTTGCTGCTATTATGTTAAGACTCTTTCTTCCTGCTTAGATAAGCTTTTATTGTTAACTAAAAAGGAGCTGAGTATTCTAAACCACGAGCTATCTCAGCAGGATTAATAGACTCCTCTTAGTCTCCGTTTTACCGCTGACGCGAAAGGTATCCTGATCAATTTGTAGCACTTTTTCTGCTCAAATTAAGCTTTGCACATTTTAATCGGAGGAATCCTTGTGAGGATAGTTTGGCAAATGCCAGTGCAAACTTCAATTGTTTGTCGCCCGGATTGTCATTCTCCTTGTGATGGCGTGTCTGCCTGAATCGGGCTATATTTCTTTCTATTTTTACTACCTCGATACTTTATCTGAGATTCTGCAGTTCATTGCGATTGCGACTCAACCCAGCGGCAATTTCTTCATCTTCATCTTCATGACGGCGACACATCGTTTTCCTTCTCCCTCTCTGATTTTAGCTATATTTTTTTTTTTTTTGCATTTTGGGTTTTCTTTTTCGTGGATTTCTTGGCAAACGCATTTATATTGTGCACTTGTATCTGTATCTATGTATCTGGTTGGATATCTGTTGGCTGTTGGATGGGTGAGGCTGCACTTTATAGCGACAGCGACCGCTTGATCGACTGAGTGCAAATTTCTCGAAGCAAAATTTATTTGTGATTTGCAATTCGCAATTTGCATGGACCGGCCGACGTAGTGAAATTTTGTGGGTAATTCATCTTCATTTCGTTGCGGTTCGAGCTGAAATGCGTTGCGGTATGCAGCCACGACACTGCCTCGCCTGGCTATTTTCAATTCGTCCGCTGCTGTGCTAAAAATGTTTCAAATGTTTTTAACCAAAAATAAACCGAATTTAGGAAAGAACACAAAAAAATTGAAGCCCAAGATAATGCCTCTGCCAAGAGGCCCATGCAAATGCAGGCTGCAATTAAAACCAATTTCCCATAAACAGACCATCTATCTATCTATCTATCTGTCTATCTGTACGTCTTGCTAGCTATCCAGCCATTCGTCAATCAATCATTTTAGTATCGGTTTCTGTTGTTTTTGTTGAAATTTAATCAACAGTTTCAAATTCTGTGAGAGGTTCCCAGTCCGGTGGGTATGGAAGCAAAAAAAATTCAAGGAAAATTGGGAGAGCTGGCGATAAAAAGAGAGAGAGAGAGGTGAAAGGAAAAGAAAAATGTTGATGGTGTATTATTATTAAAGGGAAATTTGACAGAAAACAAATGTTTCCTCCTGTGCTGGCATGCCGCTCAGCTCTTTGTTTTCTTTACTTTTCCTCGGATTTTCACACAAATCGCTTTGTATGCGTCAAAGTTGTTGAAATTTGAATTAACCCTCAGCCGAGGCAAGGACGTTGTGGCAGGAAGCTGTCTGTTGGTATTTGGTGTTGGATTACACACTCGGGATAATGAAGCAGCCGATGATCAATTGAAGCTGCGGGAAAAATTAATATTTCTATGAATTTATGTATTTATTTAAATGGCACTTTGAAGGAAAACCCCAGGTATTTCAAGTGTTCCTTTGTAAGCGCATGCATTCGTTATTCCAGTCAATTGCAAATACAAGCCTAGGGTCAACAGTTATCTTTGAGGTCAGCATTTGACTTAATGTCTACATATTTTTGTTTATAATACGTATACACAACTTGCACAAGCATCTAAAAATACGTCACAAAGGCGAGCCATTAACCTAATTGCAAAAGTCAGGCAATGGATACAAAAGCCTCAGGTAGCAACAGTCGGCCCGCAGTATAAATAAAAATAGGGTTAAGTGCGAGAATCCACTCCTTTAATTTCCCGCAAATGCATTGGCGAAACGTTTAAAGTGCGCCAAGCCAGGCAGCAAATGAAATAATTGCAGACACTGAATCGGAACTACGGTAAAAGTTAATTAACTTTAATAGTAATTAGTACCTGCTGGCTGGCCGACAACGACAAACTGGCACGTTCAACTTTTCTGGGTGAAGGAGGAATGGCAAGAAAATGAGAAAATCTTGCACAAGTTGGGATAACATCAAGGCCTTGCTGCCAAGATTGCAGATGGAAAAACCATGTAATGATTTGAAATTAACCAAGTTCTAGCAGCAACTAAGTACCGAGTTAATTAGTGCGCGCATCAACGGCATTTTTTGGTGTCAAGACCAAGTGGCCCACAACACCTGTCCGTCCGCTGGGCTGAATATTCGAAATATTTAAATTCACGGCACTTGTCGTGGTGGCTGATTGACAGTCGAACGTGACATGAACATGGTTCACCTAAATTCCGTAATTTATTTAGCAGCAAATCCGCAAATCGGCAAATCGGCAAACCGAAAACAAAACGGATATTATGTTAGCAATGACTGCAAATCCTGCTGCTCTTGCCTTTCCTCAATTTTAAGCACATATCCCCATGACAGCATCAATTAACGTGAAAAAGCAAACTTTGCGTTGACTTCACTGTTTGCACTGAGCCAAATGAAAATGGGCTTTTGCATTGCCTTAAATAATGCCATTTGTGCAAAAAATCTATTCGTTCGGTTTTGCGATTGGAATGGAGATAAGTGGCATTAATAAACATAAATAACTAAGGGTAAAATATAACTGGTTTCACTTAATACATGAGATAAAGAGTTAATTCTCTTGATATCATTCACTAATTGTGCCTTTAATTGTTTTCATATTGTCAGCACCTTGTTGATGCTCGTTGAACAAAGTCAAAGTGCATTGCTGAACTAGTTTAAAGATCATAGCAACAGTTTGAAGTATTACAGTCTTACAGTCATTTCTTAGTCAACGTGAGCTCTTTAAAAATTTGAATTTGGGCCAGATCATAAACTATAAGAAGACCAAACACCAGTTCAGACCACAAAAAGGCCAGGCTGGCTTATTTACTATATATTGATAAATCTCTTCTTGTACTCTTCGTCACCACAAAGCCCGATACTTATCCGTATATGTGTGTTTGTGTACATATTTTTACAGTCCACACAACAACAGAACCAGCAGCAAGCACTTATGAACAAGTCAAATGACGACCTACGGAGAAAGCGTCCAGAGACTACACGGCCAAATCACATTCTACTCTTCACCATCATAAATCCCTTCTATCCCATCACAGTTGTAAGTACACACAGCAATATATATCTGTATTTTACTCTTTCTCTCTGCAGCCTCTGCTCCCAAAACATACACTATATTATACGACGATATTATCCTAACATATCCTCAAGCTACTTAGGGAGATCTCGTCCACTGCACTTATATATATCATTTAGTTTTATTTATTTATTTTTTTTTTTGGCAAGAAATCACAGCAAATAAAGTGAAATCCATAGCAATTTGTTGTGTAGCAGTTGGAAAACTTGTCACACACTCGAGCGGAGTTGCCAGGCATGTGTGTGGTGGGGATAGAAAAGCAGTTTTTTGCCACACTGTCGCCTCTGGCCCTGAATGTTATTGTAGCCTAGGCTCCACACGAGTGTTGATTGCATCTGGCTTTGTGGCGTGTCTGGTCTGTTCGGTCTTATCACCACATTTGATACATTTTAGCTACAAAATGGCCAGAAAGCGAGTGTCCTTAAACGGGGCAACAACAAGTGGTAAGCGCAGATGGGTCGGGATTTGGATGGGTCTTTAGACCAAGTGCATTGTTGGACGAACAACAACCTGCAACGTCAACAGCAACAATTATAAGAGGAGAGAAAAACAACACAATGCCCCGACAAAAAGCTTAAAAAAATCATAAAGTACTTAAGTGTGCGCAACATGCTCACATCCACAAAGCAAACGCATGGACAAGACACAGAAACTAGGACTCGAGATTTCTTTGCTCAGGCTTGGAAAATCTCTTCCGAAATTAGTTTTTGGGTGCACACATGTTGTATGCAGCCTGTTCCAGCAATACATGTAATTTTTCAAAAGATTTTTGGATAATACAAATATTCTCAAAACGGCTGTGATATATTTGTGATATATTCGCACGACGCCGACATTACTGAGCGATTTTCATTAGAAATCCCCTTTTAGTAAGTGAAAATGAGTTGCACAAGCAGAGTCACTGCATTTGAATGTGGATCAAGAGGGATTTTGCTTAGGCCCCTTTTCCAGTCCCGTGGTGTCCTATATCCTGGCTATATAGGGTAGCCACTACTACAAGCAAACAATATCTAGACACGCACGCTGGCACACTGGTTTATTGTCTTTTTAGCAGCGGCAACAACATTTGGCGGCGCAGCAGTGCAACAAAAGGCAAAGAAAATAAAAATGCGGAAATGCTCCACTCCTTTCGTCCTGCAAAGTGGAAAAGCGAGTGTGCGAGTGTGAGTGTGCGCCGAGGCAATTGTATTTTCCAACACTTGAGCCAAGTGCGAGTGTAGTGGAACATAAAATCCTGTGAAGTGGAAAACATGCAGCATAAAAACTGCAAACTGGAAATTATTTTGGGCCAGCAGAGTTGCCAGCATGTTATACGAGTGTGTGTGTGTGTGTGTGTGTGTCGACGGTATGTGCGTGTGGATAAAGCCAGAAAGCCCAGACATGTTAATTCGCATCCGACAAAATGGCTGCCTCTGTTGCCTGGTGCAGCAGGATTTTCCGACCGTCCGACTGAATGACTTTTCGCAGGTCCCATTGTCGTAAGGTCCGACTGACTGGATTTATATTCACATTCGCATTCAGCACAGCGCAGCTTTTTTCCAACGGAAATAAATCTTGCCGTTGACTTAAGTCATCGCCATTGAGAGGAGCGTGTTGGTTCAGGAATTAAGCAATTCCCTTTACAATTCTCCGTCTTTCTTCCGCGTTATGGGACACAAATTAAAAGCTTCTGGCTGTTTGTACAGTATCTTTTACATTCAGTCGCTCATTGAGCCGCATTTCGGTATTAATGAAGCTGCAAATCGGATTAAAAGCAACTCCTGTGTCATAAGAAGTATGATTTAAGCATATCAGTAAACAGCATGGCTTTCAGGCGCCAAGATCAGGTGATAAATTGGTATTGCGGCATAGTTGGTATTGATATTAAAGATGTAGAGTACAAGTACAAGGTGCTTAAATCATTTTCACTGTAGATCATAGAGCACTTTTCCAGACAATTTAAAAATGAATTTATATGTGCCCCTTGCCGAATGCAATTTCCCCCCGCCCAACGTAACACTCAAAAGAAGCATGGCGAAAAAGAAAACTGTTTCCGGAAACTTTTCGGGAAAACTTGGGCTGGGCACGTTCGTCGGCGAGGAACGCTCCATCACATGCTCCAACTAGCTTTGGCTTAACTAATCGCAAACTAAACGACCTCTAATAGCATCCGGAACTTCTGTCAACAATGCAGACTCCCGCTGCCACTCCCATATTTTCCGACCGCCCTCCTCCACCGCCCATTTCCACACATGCCCAAGCGAATCGAAACGAAAAGTAAAGTGAGCTACGAGTCAAAAGTTTTCCAGAGCTATGCCGCCCGGCTCGTTTCCGCAGTAAAAGAGAGGAGTTCGGGAAGGGTATGCCGCTTACTCGCATGGAACAAAAAGCTTTCGGGATAAGATTAAAAACTTTTTAATAAGAAGACACTAAAAGCATCAAAGGAAATTTGCTTCTGCACACACACACACGCACACACACTACCCATATTTGTGTGTGCAGGCAAAGTGGCCAACAAAAATTTCAGAGTTGGGGCAAAAACCAGATGATAGATGGATGATAAAGTTGCGCAGCACCAAACACTCGGCAACAAAAGGCAGCTAGAAGTTAAAGTTGAAGAGATGCTGAAGAAGAAACAAAAAAAAGACGGAAAAACTGAAAAAACTGCAATAAAAATGGCAACGACGACGGTATTAGCTGACACCATCGTAGGGCCAACAATGTTCAATAATGTATTAGCATGGAGGCCACAAGGCGTTGCAGCCACAATGCAAATGCAACCGACCCCAGGAGAGCAGGAGCAGCAGGAGCAGCAGGCATATGTAAAACCCTCTTTTGAAGCGGCTTATCAGAACGCTGTTCGACTTTGTTGGTGGCGGAAAAAAATAACAAAAAATCAGGGAAAAATAAGGCAAAATGCAGCAGCAGTCAGCCATAAGCTAAAGCCCAGGAATGTGTAACGGCAGCTGCAGCTTTTGCAATATGTGACACATGCAGGGGGAGCAGGAGGAGCGGGAGGCGCAGGAGGAGCTGGCGGAGCACCAGCATCCAGCAGACCATAATGCGTAGCCTGGCAAAAGCCAACGAGTTAGGTGGGCGGAGCGGGTGTTTCATTGCACCGAAGGACATGCGGTGACGGCAAAAGCCGAAGCTGTAGCCCAACTTAAAGCCAAAGCCAAAGCCATAGACCTAAACCAAACCCAACTCAACCCAACCCAACCCAACCCAACCTAACCCAACCCAAGCAGAGCCAATCCGAGCCCTGGAAAGCCAAGCCCTGCGCGTCCTTACCAGGCTCACCAGGAGCAGGGCATGGCGAGATGGATAAGGATGAAAAAGGGGAAAAGTCGTGGAAAAGTCGGGGAAAGCGGAAAACGGAAGAGGGGGCTCGTGGCAACTGAGGTTTTCAATAATGCACGTTATACGGCTCCCATGCCGCGTATTGTATTGCATTTTGTTTATGCATGCGCCCATCAAAGATGGCAAAGATGCTTGCCAAATGGAACTACAGTGGAAGAGAGTAGAAAGTGCACTGAGGGAAAAATGTTTCAGAATACCAAAGTTACAGAGGAATACATGGTGTTCCCTCCGATTTAAAAAGAAATTTCTATCGTGACTTCGATTCAAAATCTGTTATATTTTACAGAACGCTTTGCAACTAGTTTCTCTTAGTGTCGAAAGGACGATAGATCTCTGCGGTATTTCCTTTTTGCTTTGCTGTACAAGTTTGACAAATCGATGAGGTGGTTGTGCCCAACCATTTCCATACCCAGCACCCACTGCCATTTTTTATGTACTTCTTTTATGTTCGCCGCTGCTCGCGACAGAAAATCTCTCATAAAGTTGTCTTTATGGAAATATGCAAAACAATAGATTACGATGTGTGAGGCCTTTTGAACTTTGATTGCTTCCCCTTCACCCTTCACAGAAAGCCGAAAAATCTGGTTCTTTGAGTGAGACTTCATTTTTAATTTTAACACCTACAAACTGGCGGTATAAAACAATGCTTGCCAAGACAATTCACTGAGCGAAAACACATGCAGAATGCCCAAGATTCAGAGAAATCCAGGAAACATCGATCTATCGCGAACTGGCTTCCTCGTTATTAAGTATTTGATAAAGCAGATTCGGAAAGCACTTGATATCGTTCTTGGTCAGATTCCCGTTCTCGTACATTTTTGAAAAGATCTTCAGGTGATGGTTTACAAATTAATATTTGCATGCGACTTTTACTTTTCTTTACTTACCAACTCCCTGAGCCTGGCCTTACTCAACAGATTGGCCCTTTCCTTTCGCCAGTCGCGAAGTTGATTAGCCTCCACTTCGCTGATGGAGCCCGCAGTCCAATTTGCACAAGCTTGAGCTTCAGTGGCAGCTTTGAGCTCCAGCCTTGACTTTGTCATGTGGCTGTGGTTACTTTCCCGGAGTGTTTTCCTTCGCAACACGTGTTTTCCCTTTGCTCTCGCCTTTTTTTTCAAGCTGCTCGTACTTTTCTCGATGATCTTGCTTACGGAGCCTGGGGATCCACTTTGACCCGTAAGCCTGCCACCATCGAGGCGTTGTTGCTTGGCGTGCTCCTCCAGGAATTTGGCATCCCGCTGGGCCTCCAATTCGAGCATCCGCTGCTGGCGTGCCCGCTGGCTAAGATTTCGCTGCTGCTTGCGGCGATGGGCTTTGGAGATGCTGCTGCTGCGTTTGGGGGAACACTGGCGGCGTTTCTCCCTGCGGACACTCTGCCAAATGCCCAAACGCTCCTTGGCGCAAGTGGGCGCCAGCAGTTGCTCCTTTTGCCGCTGAATTTCGCGAGCTATCAAAGCTCGATGCCTTCTCGCATGCGCCTCGGCCTCCTCGCGGCGTCGTCGCGACTGCAGGATCACAGGACTCACCTGTGGCGCTTGCACCAGATCACCTGGCCAACGCACTTGCTTGCCCATGCGATTCTGCGCCAGCTGCTGCTGCTGCTGCTGCTGCTGAATCAGATCCTGCTGGCGCTCCCGCTGGTGCTTTTGCATTGCCTAAGGAATGAACATGGATAATTGAAGATGTGGTTATGGAATATGTCTACCTGGTGATTCAGTTCCTCGCGTCTGCGACTTGCACGTGTGTCTGCGAACATGGCCTGCTTATTCTGCTCGTAAAACTTGCAATAGTAGTTGACCTTGGTGGAGTCCCGAGGCGGCATTATACGCCGATAGTTGCCAAGATGGCTCTCCTCCCAGGCAATCTGTTGGGTTAACGCCCCAATGGAGCAGGCTTGCCGCACATCGTGGCCCCCAGCTTCCCGGATGGGGGACGAGTAACCCGGCATTTGGGCTGCAGCCTTCTTGTTGTAGATATTCCTCAGCAGTCTGGCCCTGTGTTCAGTTCGATCGTCGCGTATAATCTGCTCCTTGTCCACCAAAGCGGTGCTGAGCATATTGAGAGTGTCTCGAATCAAGGGACGCTTCACTTCCATGTCCACCGCCTCATCTGCACTCAAGCTAGGCGTGTGATTGACTTCCAGAATGTACGGCTTCAACTTCCAGTCCACCAGGATATCGAAGCCGAGCAACTGAAAGCTGGCCTGTATCTTGTCGTGCTTTGGAAAGCACATGTTGTAATTATGCTTCAGCGTGGGCCAAGCACTAATCAGCGTCTTTATAATCGCATCATCCACACTAGCCCACAACTCGGCCACGTCGTAGTTGTGATCCAATAGCCACTTATTGAAGGCACTTAGCTTGCGCTTGGAGCCCGCTTCCGGTCCATTACCCACCATGTACTGTGAGTTCCGGCGGTTCAGGCAATAGTTGGTCAGGTGCATGAACACATTGTGGCTGTTTCCTGTCGTTGGTGGCACATACTTCTGGGTGGCAAAGCGGGCCAGGCCCTCATTGTACACAAAAATGCGCAGTGGGTCCACGGAGGTGACAAGTGTGTAGACGCGCAGGTCAAACTTGTAGCCATCTATCAGTAGGGGCTGAAATGGGCAAAATTGGTAATAGATCATTAGGTCCAGTCTCCAGACTTACCCGCTCGATGTACGTTTGGCAGATGAGCTTCTCCCGCTTGCCCACAGTGCGAAGATCGGTGGTGATCCAAATGCCACGTCCTTGGCCCGCGGAATAGGGCTTCAGGATAAAAGTGCGCTTGTGCTTGCTCGCATAGATGGCTACATCGTAGGCACTGGCAGAAGAGATGATGAGCTGAATTAAAGGGAAATGTCCAACAAAAAAAAGAAAACTCACTCGGTTGGCATAAGCCAGGTTTTGGGGAATATGCGATAGTCGCCGGGAAACATTTTGAGCATGCGATTCAGATTCCTCGACAGCAGATCCTTGCGGCATATCTCGACCATGCCTGGAAAATGGTTAATCTGCTGAAACCGTTTCATGTTACGCAGCAGGTCATGGTGGGGCGTTGAGTCCGACCACTGGATGTTCCACAACCTGTGCTCGGGCACGTGCTGGAACCCCATGTTCCTGGTGACCTTGGCCACCAGTTGGAATCGGGTGTGCTCCACGCAGACACTCAGTCTGAGGCCACGAATGCTGGGCACAATGTCGGTGCCGTTCACGTGAAACTGCATCGGTGGCTCTTTGATGATGTCATAGCAAATGGAGTCCAATTGGGAGGCGGTCAGCAATGGTTTATCCTTCGGCTGTTGCGTGTTATCCTGGGTGACAACCATGATGGTGTCCTCGTTGCCGCCGCCACCGCGTCGTCGCCATATCGGCTGGTTCTGGTTATTTTCCCGGGCCGATCGCTGTTTTCCACGTGCCTTATTGGACAGGACATAAACACTTTCCCGATTGTTGACTCCTTGTTGCCATTGGCCATTTTTATCCGGGGGCAGGGATTTCTGGGCATTAAAAAATCGCGTATACGGATTGAGCTCGTAGTTAGCGGGTCTGGGCGATTTCTTAGAAGGCATCTGGTGATGGTTGTGCCGCTTCCACAGGTTTTATGGACTTTTCGCAGTGCGTTGCTCTTCAATTTGTCATCAAAAAATCCGAATTTGATAGGGTACATTGAATTTTGACAGAATAATATTCGTACGACGTGTTGAACTACGGTGGGAGCTTGAAAAACATTTTTTTTAATTCCCATCTCATCTTGCAACCTTAGCACGCCCACCAGCCCACCGCAAGGCAAGGTCAAATGCTCGGCGGTTGACACTTGAGATGTGAGCCACTCAATTACCAAAGTCAGTGCCGCGAGTGAAACTTGTGCCATGTGGTTGGCCAAAACACCTTGCGACAACCGAATCGAATCAGTGCGCACACCTGGCTGGCCCACCTTCCACCTTCCATCTCCCATTTCCCCCGCTTTTCGTATTAATTTCCATGTGAGGAGCGTGGGGTGGGGCTCATTAACCGCAGTTTTATCAGCTTTAGGCTCGTGTGGTTATTAGTTCAGGCAGTCAATGTCACGAGGAAAAGTACATGAGAAAAAAGATGGAAACCCATCAGCAAAGGCAGTTACATAGCGACAGATGTAAATGCTAGCTCGTCATCCGCTTGGTTAACTTTGGGGACAGAAGGGCAAGATTATGGATGGGTCACCTACGCTGTGGCAACCTCAACCCCCCAACCTACGCACTGCGATCTCTCGTACAATACAGAAATTCGTGAATATTTTAACACACTTTAAATAAATCTTAAAAGTAGATATCAATAGTTTAATTTGTAAATAAATAGCTAACTTTTTCTAAGGATAGAATCGAAAGAGCCAAAAAATCACATTTTTATAAGAGGATCAAAATGTTTATTTATATTCACCCCAAATGCGCTGGATAAACTGCAACTGCAGTCTAAATAAACGCCGTAGTTGAGTGGTTGCTTAAATGCCATTGGATGAAAAAGCATTATAAGTTTCAGTTAACAATAGCTCAATTCCGATGTTTAATCGGGTGTTTTTGTTTGGTTTTTTGTTTCCTTTTGTTTTCGAATTAAGTGACAAACAACTGACGAAGCCAGTGCCTCATTTTGCACATGTGATGTTTGGGTTTCGGCAACGACCCGTGTAATTTGTCAAGTTTATTTGGTTGAGCAACGCTTTTGGGCCAGCTCCTATCTATCTGCCAGCTTTCCTCTAATTGGCTGTCCAAGTTGTTTGGCTGGTGCTTTATTTGTTTTTGTTGCAGTGCTAATTATGCGCCCGCTTTGTCGCTCGAGATTGTAAACAAAAAACAAGCGGGAAAAGCGTGTTTGAAACTTTTCTGCATTTCAAATATTAATGATAGTGCACGTACCACCAACAACAGGGGCGCGGAATGATAACGAGGGCTGCACTTTTTGTTGACAGAACAGGAGCGTTGATAAGCGCGAGAGAAATGAACGGAAAATGGCGATTAATGTTGTTTTAACTTACGGAAAAGCGGAACACGAAAGGGTTGGCGGAAAATAATGTGCCTTTTTGCTTATACAAAAATAATTACAGCTATTCTATTTGACTTTTCCCGCTTAACTGCCGGCAAAGGTATTTACAGTGAGTTATTGCACATCAATAAATCTCACTTGTGTGTTTTTTCACATTGCATATACAAAATGCAATAAATTATTGCTACTGATTGAATATTTCACACTTTTATACTTGACAGAGCACATAATAATACCAAATTTTATTTATTTTTTCGCTGTTCAATTATTAATTGGCATCCTTTCTCTCGTTGTCCGCTGTTTTTTTAATCAGCTGCAGGAAGGACGCGGGCGAAAAGCCACGCGAAATGAGTGTAAAATCAGGAGACGACAAACTATATTAAAAATTTAAAGGTGCTCTCACACACGCACTTCATTTGCAGCTGCAAGCGCGGCAAGAAAAAAAATATGGCATAAAAACAGCAGCCCGAGAGCATGATAATAAAAAATTAAACAAAAGGAAAATAAGGAAACCAAGCCAGGGGAAAAGTGCGGAGTTGGGAGCACTGAAAATGGTTCATAAACTCGCCAGGCAGATGATGATGAAACCCGAAAGCCGGGGTATAAATTACAATGTGTGAGAATGTTTATATGGGGGCGGGCGCACATACATACGTATGTCTGCGTGTGTGTGTGTGTGTACTACTTTTAACAAATCCCTTTATTTTTATGGAGCCACACACAGTTGCACATCGCCTAAGCGCGCATTAAAAATTAATCTTTTAATTACTGCCTGGTTGGTTGGCGGGCTCATCATCACATCCTCTGCAAAAATGAGTGGCGGACTATTAATTTGGCGTTCAGCGGCTATATTTTATTTTCGCCTTTGCATTTACAGGCCGCGTCTTGAGTGCTTCAAGCTAGAATAATACCTAATCATAATCTTTTCCTGGCTTAGGATTGTCTTCCTGAATAATGTTAGTCACGCCCTAATACTGCTCTGCACTTTTCATTGTTCGAATCTCGCGCAGCTGAGGAAAAAGTTCGAGAGCTCTAGAACTCGAGCATATTTTGCAGCTCAGCAAGTTTTCCTATTGCCGCCAAACTGCGAATTTTAATTGCTTTAATTGACCCCAGGAAAGAAATGCCACAACTTGCCACATAAACTCAATGGCCAGAGAAGCGACCCCAGGACTCAAGTATCTTTCTCGCACACTTGAATTCAATTTACACTTTGTGGCATTAACATTTTTGGGGATTTTAATGCCCAAACTTTTGCAGGGACTAAAATTTGTGTTAAAAGCTTTTGCAAAGCCAAAGTTTTAAATGTGAAAATGAACGTTTATTGCTAGAACTAAATCCGTTTTAATAGTATCAAAAAATTCAGTGCACTAAGCAACTAAGCCGTGATTTAGTAATTTAAATTTAAGAGTCAAAGTGCGCCAAATCACATTTATCACTTTAGTCAGTGCGCATTTGGCAATCCCTAGGATTAGATATAGCAAACGTGATTAACATCGCAGAGAGTGATACAAATATTCCGTTGTCATTCGGAATTCCACGTTTGATTTATATATTCAGGTCATACAGAATGTCTATGCATACTATGCTTTATTTTTGTGAGCTCCGAATCCCCGTAATTATGCATGAATCGTGAAATCAACTGCATTGGGGGCGTTGCCTGGGTTTTTGGGGTAGTACGAATGTGGAACTATGGAACTGAGTGCTGGAAACGCATGAATGAATGCTCCCAACAATGTATGCGCATAAATTTGAGCACTTCACCCTGCAAGACGCAATGAAAATGTTGAAATGTTAAAATGCTCGCACGTACTGCGAAAAAGTTATTTGTAATGCAAAACAAAACGAAATCAACGGCACAACAAAAATAAACAAAAAACAAAAAGCAAAAAGCAACGCGGCCAGTGAAACAACAAACTAAATACAAACATAAAACAAAAAGGAAAAACGCAATCCCAGCAGCAGCAATAAGAACAACTGTGAAAATAGTAGAGAAGTGGTAAGACTTTTTGTTTGGCTGCCTTGCTTTTAGTTCAACTACAGTTGCTGCATAGAGTGCATAAACAACAAACGCATTTGTAATGAAAATAAAATTTAACGGCACAAACACCAAGGACATGCCCAAGTGGAAGACGTTGCAAAGTATGCAACAGTTTCTGTTTCACGGCTTCTCTGTTTCGCTTCCTAAGCCTAGTGCACTTACGCCACTTGGCCAAAAGAGCGAAAACTGTGCAGTCTGTGGGCAGAAAAAGACATTTTCCGCCGTATCCAATATTTCTTGCGGCCTTCCGCTGGCTGCTCACTGGAAAATACAAAATTTAAACACACAAATTGGTTGCTGCCACAAAAAAACGGAAATACTTTCAAGGTATTGAAGTATCCTGGCAGGCCTAAAAATAAATAAAATATAGAAAAGAAATCCCGCTGTTTACAGGCCTTTTTTCGCCGCAGTGTGAGGATGTGTGGCTGATGTATGACATGCCAGCAACAAATTGCAGCAAAAAAGGAAAATGGCGACCAAGAAATGTGACACCTCCTGGCCACTTGTCAATGTCATAATTTGCCATAATGTTGGGCCAGGAGCAGGAGCAGGAGCAGGAAACGGGGCGGACTAGTGGCAGGCAGATGAGAAATGGAGATGAACTAGCGAGCGGGACAGGCATCAAAAGTTGTGTGGATGATGATGTCGATGGGGCGATGTCGGGGCTGATGCCTTTTGGCCCGAGGCCGTGGTCGAAAGGGTCCTTCTGCTGCTGGCCCGACTTGGCTTGGCTTGGCTTGGATACTCGCAGGGACTAAATAGTGTGATGTTCGGGTGGGTGGGTGTGTGGGTGTGTGTGTTTTCCAACTCCTGTCATGTCCTTGGCTCCCCGACGAGCACTGTCAACATTAACACAGCCCAGAGGCATAAAAGGCATATCCAATTGCAAAAAGACGCATGTCGATAACAAAGGCTCGGCAAACATTCAACTAACATTAGTGCCACGCCCCTCGTCCTGCCAGCAAGCACACAGCCGCACACAGCCGCACACATGGATACGCGCATAGACATGTGTGGATCCTGGTTCTCGTATCCTGGCGCCCTCGTATGCTGTCTATTTTACTTGGTCATTAAATTTGGATTTTGTGCTGTGCACATCGCCATCGCTTGACTCTGCTGTTAAATATATCTACCCAAACACACAGAGGCATCCTACAGCTACGTCTCTTTAGTGGCCTTTTGTGCTGCCCCTAACCGCCCACCTCCCACCTCCCACCTCTCGCCTTGGCCCACGATTTGGCTTTAACTTGCCGCCATTGTTGGCCAGGCTCTTTGCATACAGACATATAGATATACATACATACATATGTACGTAGCATGGGCCAAAAGGAAGGAAGGAAGGCTGGGCAGAAAGGTGGAAAATCCCCCATCTCTCGCTTTGCTTAACATCGGTTTTACCGCTCCCCCGATGTTTTGTTTTGCTTTCGGTTTTGAGTCCTTTGTGGTTGATGATTTTTCCAACATTGCATAGCAATTGCAACAAGCAAAAAATGGTTTTAAGGGCTTAATGCTCTGCATCTGACAGTGGGCTGGGCTTCCAAACAGGGAAAATGGCTCGTTTAGACTTAGCTGCAGTGCCACAAGCATATCCATTGACCGGATTTGCGGCAATTGAAGTTGTGAGCCCCACGCTCCGCAAAACATAGATTTCTCAATTTCTTTCTCTATTGGCTAAAACGATTATCTTGCCAAGATCTTTCCTACAAAAAGTAATAGATCAAGTTATATAAATAAGTTTCATTTTACTAATCATTAATTTTTGTCTGTTTCTTTTTAGGTAAGTGTTCATCACCCTTTAAAATCTTCGGTTTGTGAGTATTAGATTTAACAGTGAATATCAAATTGAACTTTCGAAATGGGTCACATAACATTCAATTGCAGGACCAATAAATTTCTTAATAAGCCCACACAGACACATTTCACCATCAAAGTCAGTTTAGACATCAAAATCTTCACATTCCTTGTTATCAACATACACCTCATTTCGATCGTCCTGCTGCCAACAAAAAAAAGTGAAAATGCTATTGCTGACCCAATAAATCTTTGGAAAATTCCACTAAGACCCAGCAATCACAAAAGTTTTTGGAACGGGCTCTCCAAAGTTGCACCGTAATTCCCACGATAATAATCATAATAAAAATCAAGCAAGCGATAAAGCATAAAACCAAATTACATACAACTCCGGCCTTTTCAGAAGCGTGAGGACTTCGGAAGCAAACACTTGAGGTTCCACCTCATTTTCTCCGCTACTTCCGCTTTCAGTTCTGGCATAACATGAAAATAAAAAGTTTTTCTTCAACCCATAAACTCGCACATTGTCGAAAAAAGGGGAAAAATATGCCACTAAAATATTTGTATGTATATATAGATGTTTTTGCTTCGACTTGGTCAGGGCGGCCAGACATTTTATGGAGCACGTAAGGGACACTTTTTGCAGTTTATATTCGTTTGAAAAGTTTTCTCATAATGCTTATGTAATGTCGAGCCGACTGCCCCCGAATTTCAGCACGTATTGGGGCTAAGATAATGCCCTCAAACGATCTGGGCGATGGATAGACTTATTTTATATGTGCCAAGTGAAAGAGCTAAATTCATTAAGTTGTCAAATGCAAGTCAACACAATAAGAAATTCTGACATGGTCATGTCATGTTCAGTGCGCCGCAAAAATCGCGAGCAGACGAGGCGAAAGAGTAGAAAGGCAATAGGAAATGGGAAATGGAAAATGGGAAATGCCTCTTGAGCAGCCCAAGAAAATTAAAAGAAACTGAGAAATAGGAATGCAAATCGTTGTTATTGTCGTCACATTTTCTTCTGCTCCCATTTTCACAATTTAAATGTTAAGTTTTTGGAACTCCTTCACTCTATTATGTATCGTGTGCAGTATTTGCGCATTATACATCTTCCTTGGTTGCTCTTTAGTCGCAACCAATCCTTGGGACAGGCGCACCCTCGCTCGCATTTCTTGGGTATGCACCTTTGCCTGTATAAAAACTCCGAGCAGATCTTGGGACAAACTGGCATACACTTTACCATCACATCGCCGTGCGTACAAACTAGAGTTTTTACAAGATTTAAAACCAAATATGTGGGAATATTAAACCTTACCGTTATGCGGATGTACCCTAGCTCTAGTATAATTTAGTAAGTACAGGAAAACCAAACCAAACAGTCTACACTGCATGATATCGCTTTTATTTACTATTCCGCGTGATGCATATGAAACTCTAGTGAACTGTGGTGTGCAAAATCAATTCGGTTACGCCTGATTTGTTGCAATGCAATGAGTTTTAACACTTTAAACAAATGATATAGTTTACTGGCCAAAGCAGCACCTCACCTCAACGATAAATTAATGATCCCTTAAAGCCCGCCACCGCCACCACCAAGCCTCTTACTCTGTCAAAATAACCTGGAAAAATCCGCAGCTGTTGATGAAATGCCACAAACCCGCAACAAATGAAAAATTCAAAGAGCCACAGATGCGGCAGCCCATGGGTAAACATTTTAATACTACTAATTGAGCCAGCGAAAGCTATTGCCCGGCAAAATCAAATGGAAATCCAAAACTAATAAACGGTTTAACGGGGCGTATGCGCATTGTGTGCCATATTGATTTTGCATATAGCAGTTTTTTGTTGTGCAGTGTAATTAACCGTCCAGCAGCAAACAGGCGCATAATTACAATTTTGAAATTGTATGCCCTGGATATGGGCCATAAGTGTGTGCGGAAGAAAGGTGCATTGTGTGTGCCGACTGTGGCTCACATGTCAGCAGAGGATTTTCGGTCAGGACTGCGTATGGAATGAGGAGGAACGAGGAATATGGCAGTGGCCATCTGATATGGATGGCTCTGGATGGCCCCCAGACAATGGATAATAGATGCTGGTCATCGTTTGTTGGCTCACTTTGCTGGGCAGCTGCTGCGACCAGCGGTCATTGCTGGCGCTATTTGCGGTTTTAATTATGTCCAGCTCGTGGAACGCAGCACGGCAAAACAATGCGAATGTACGGCTTAAATGGGAAATGGGGACGGGGTGGCCGTGGTGGCCGGGGGGGCTGCATTGTTGCAACGATTGAAATAAATGATGCGAGATGGGACAACTACTGAATATGCAGGACCAAAGAATGAGCCCTAATTTGGGACAACAGTTTCGGGACGCTGGCCGTAAGAAAATCAATATGCAAATGTGCAAAGCGTACAAGGGCATGAAACATGGGAGCTATGAGCGCCATGATTAATGGAAGATATGCCGCGGAAACTGTGCATATGGCGTGCATATATGGAAAAGGTTTTACTGATTGATAAACCAAATGCCAAGCAGAGCGTATAAATCGTTGCATCAGAATGAATGTGTATATTCGCAATACAGCACAATATCAGCCACGATCCGATGGGCCCTTTGTGCGGCACCTAAAATTGCCAAACCCAAAACGCCGTTGATGGGACGGCAGTCAATCAACGTTGAGGGCTTAAAGTGTCACCCTCACAACTCACCTTCAACCAACTAACAAAACCCAAAAGGCACACCACGTGCAGAACGAGGAGAAAACTTAATGCTAATGCTAAGCCCGGAGCCTGAAAAATTAATGCCTACTAATAATTCAAGGGGGTCGCAAGGGCCCTTACGTCGAGCATGCTTAAATAATCTAACGTACAATTAATTGAAGGTGCCATAAATATTTCGTATACGCAACGTAAATCAGCCAAGATGGCAGCCAGGCGGCAGTAAAAGCCCTTTTGCAAAAGCCCGATTATGCAAACAATTAATCCTGGAAGCGTTTATTGCTGAGCTTCTTTCCTGTGGGAGGGGGAAATTAGGCCCAACCTAGTTCGTTTGACCAGGATGAACTAGCAAATTTGGTTCATGCACGTCTTCATTACGCTTAAATCTCGACCGCCTAGAGAAGCCTTTGTTATAATCAATTTGGAAATGACTTGGCTGGAGCCGGAAGCACGTCATCCTGCAATCACATTAGCCGGGATTCGTTTGCTGCTGCTCTCCGGAAATAAAGACTGAATCGCAGAAGGTCCAACGTCATTGTTGGACAGTCAGTCCACTGGCCAGACCGCAGCATTAAAGCAACATTTGTTTTAACATCTCGGCAGAGGGCGAGTGAGATTGAGGGAAAAAGAACCAAAAAACCCACCGCAAAGCCGAAGGAAGCTCAACTATCAGCTGTGCTCCCAGAATGCTGCCGAAAATTTCAAACAATGCAACACAAATTGCCGACAACCGCAGCAGCAAGCGCGGTTTACTCTGTGCAACCATCGAGGTGCAGGGTCAGAAGTTCCCGGCTCGCAGCCACCAGTTCTCCACTTCCGTCCAGCCCAGGCCCAACCTCTGAAGAAGTGGTCCGTCGACCACAGTGCACAATAGTTGACCAGTGCAATATTTTGACTTGGTCAGCGGGAAATGCTCGAGCAGCTGAAAGAAAAGAAAAAATATCCTTCGTCGAAGACAAAGTTGGTGCAGTTTGTTCTTGATGCTAGAAAAATAGCAAAGACAAGAGCGAGGGTAGCCATTAAACAGATTTTCCAGTATTTAATTAAGGCCACGAACAGACGGCTTCAGCTTAAAAGATTAAAGTTCAGAATTAAAGGGGAAAATGTCAATACTCTTAAGTCCTTGGATTTAAATGATTTCAACGAATCTATTACTCTATTAGTACTCTACTAGTAACGGGTATAATTACAAAAAAATTAAATTAAAATAATTTTCTAAATTTGAATGCAGATTTTTAGAGAATTGCGCCAGAAACATTTAGAGGTATGCCACTTCAAAATCCGATTAAGATAAATGGAGTTATGGAGTATAGAACTTCAGCCTTAGGTCATTCTTTAATGTTTTTGGATTTCTACATCTAAAATTGCAAAAAATTAAAAAAAAAATAGATTTATAAATTTTAATGCAGATTTTTAGAGAATTGCGCCAGCAACATTTAGAGGTATGCCACTTCAAAATCCTATTAAGATAAGTTGAGTTATGGAGTATCGAACTTCAGCCTTAGGTCATTCTTTAATGTTTTTGGATTTCTACAACATCATACATCAGAAAAAATACTAAAAAATTACAAAAAAAAATTAATTTCTAAATTTTAATGCAGATTTTTAGAGAATTGTGCCAGAGACATTTAGAGGTATGCCACTTCAAAATCCGATTAAGATAATTTGAGTAATGGAGTTTAGAACTTCAGCCTTATGACATTTCTTAATATTTTTAAATTGCCAAATGAACACTTTACAATAGAACATTTTACTTTTCCCTTTTTGAATACTTAAAAAAAAGCAAATATAAACACTTTACAACAAAAAATTTTCCTTTTTGAACACTTTAAAATAAAAAAGAAATATAAACACTTTACAATATAAAATTTTCCATTTCTATGCAAACTATGCAATTTTACATAGATAATTTACTTTATAACACATAAGAATGATATTATTTTATATGCATTTCTAGTTTACATACAATTATGTATGTAAAATTGCATAGTTCTCTATTTTCCAGTAGTTTACATGAACAGAGCGAAAGAGAGCAAAGTTTCGTTGGATCGTCGCTTATTCCATTTTCTTCCATTCCTCTAAGTCCGCCGTTACCTGCCAGTTCTTAGCTGCGCATTTCTCAGACGGTTGCTTTTTCGCGTCACGTGTTTCAATAAGTTTAATTAAACTAAAAGCGTTCGGAATTAGTTAAAACTTGTGTTAATACTAAGTAATCTTTATCGCTCTGTTCAATCAATCTCTCTGTTTCGATTTTGAGTAAATAAAGACCCTGCAAGAAGTGAAAAAACTCGTGCGTCGGTGCATACGTGTGTGTATGTGTGAGCTTCAGAAAGTGGCAGCTGCCAATTTTATGTTAAATAAACATCGAGAGGGAGTTATTCTACTTAAAATGAAAGCATTGTCGGCTATGTTAGTAATAACGTGCGAACGCAAAATGCAATATAATATTAGAATTTACGGTTTTTAATTATGGCATTTCCGGTAGTTTCCATGATCAGAGCGAAAGAGAGCAAAGTTCGGTTGGATCTTCGCTTATTCCATTTTCTTCCATTCCTCTAAGTACGCCGTTACCTGCCAGTTCTTAGCTGCGCATTTCTCAGACGGTTGCTTTTTCGCGTCACGTGTTTCAATAAGTTTAATTAAACTAAAAGCGTTCGGAATTAGTTAAAACTTGTGTTAATACTAAGTAATCTTTATCGCTCTGTTCAATCAATCTCTCTGTTTCGATTTTGAGTAATTAAAGACCCTGCAAGAAGTGAAAAAACCAGTGCGTCGGTGCATACGTGTGTGTATGTGTGTGAGCTTCAGAAAGTGGCAGCTGCCAATTTTATGTTAAATAAACATCGAAAAGGAGTTATTCTACTTAAAATGAAAGCATTGTCGGCTAGTTAGTATGTTAGTAATAACGTGCGAACGCAAAATGCAATATAATATTCTAATTTACGGTTTTTAATTTAGGCATTCAAGCGGGTGACGCGCGTTTTCATGTGTGTGTGTGTTTGTCTCGATGCGACAAGTTCGCTGTGTTTTAAATCCGCCGTGCTCCTACTTCGCCGTGCAGAAATGCAGATTTGTTGGCAATGATGCGAAATTCGCCGCAATGCGTTCTTTTTTTTATGTTCCATTTGTTTTGGGTGGTATTTTCTGCGCATAAATTTATTGAAATTGTAACATCTTGGTGTGTTAAAATAATTAGAGTGAAATTTCCCATTGTAAAGTGTTTATTTTTGTTTTTTATTTTAAAGTGTTAAAAAAGTGTAATGAAAAATTTTATATTTATATATATATATAGACTATATATATATATATATATATATATATATTTATATTTAAATACATTCCTGATTTTAAAGCTGGCAATTTGACGGTAATTCCTTTAATTTTTTTTTAAATTTCTTTAATATTTTTGGATTTCTACAACATCAAAAAAATTAAAAAAAATTAAAAAAAAAAAATAGATTTTTACTCTACGAGTAATGGTTATAAAAACGTTAGAAAACTTGTAAATTGAGTGAGTATATAATAATAAAATCTATTCCGCTGAAATATAATTTCACACTCAATTTATAACACCTTTCGCAATTAATATTTCTAAAAAATATTATTCATTCATTTAAGCTAAAATCTTTCTCTATACGTGAAAATCAGGAATGGCTCTTCCATCAAGGCCATAAAATACGT